AAGTGGCCAAGGTTGGCTGAGGAATTCTGGGAGTTGAAGTCCACCAGGCTTCAAGTGGCCAGGTTGGCTGAGGAATTCTGGGAGTTGAAGTCCGCCAGTGTTCAAGTGGCCAAGGTTGGAGACCCCTGCCCTAAACTATGCCAGCATGAACAGAAAACGGTAAATGGGAACTTCCTAGGGTGACCCATCCCTGCAACATAAGCCAATCAGAAAGTAAGTCCAAAATGGGAACATTGGCAAGCGCATGCAACTCCCCGCATACCTCTGTGCACGCGCATGTGCCTCCCATGCATGCTCTCCCCCCATGTATGGGCAACAGATACCGACAATCGGCTGGTGGGGGGCACACACGCATGGGACAGTACTTCTGGCACGCATGCCATAGGTTCGCCATCACAGCCCTATTCTATACCTGTAATTTTGTTTTTTCCTACCTATTTTTCTCGCCGCTGAATTCTTTCTTGTTGGACAGGGCCCAGCGCTCAAATCTGTCGAGACCCTTCTGGATCGTGAGCCTAGTTTCCAAAGTGTTAGCAATTCCCGCTAGCCTGATGTCATCTGCACATTTGATAATCTCCCCTTCTATCATGGTGTCGTCACTGTGGCTTCTACCCTCCTTTGTGGCTGCATGTTGGGTTTTAAGTACATCTTATGCTTTGATTACATGGTGGGTTTTCCGGGATGAGGTGTGTTTGTTGCCGTTCTGATTAGACGTTGCAGCTTTGAGATCAAGGCTAAATTAATTTTCTTTCGATGGGTTTAAATCTGAGCAAACCAGCAGCCCGATCTTGTCATCGTTCGTGAGTTTTTGTTGACATCTGGAGTCCACAAGCTTTCTCACTCAGCTGGTTCCACAGCCAAGTCAGGAACACATACACATACGGAGGGAGGGAGGGAGAAAGAGAAGGAAGGAGGGAGAGAGAGAGAAGGAAGGAGGGAGGGAGGGAGAGAGAAAGAGAGAGAGAGAGGGAGGGAGGGAGATAGAGAGAGATAAGAGAAAGAAAGGGAGGAAGGGAGAGGGAGGAGAAAGGGAGGGAGAGAGAGAGAAAGAGAGGGATGAAGGGAGAGGGAGGGAGGGACAGAGAGACAGGGAGGGAGAGAGAGAGGGAGGGAGGGAGAGAGAGAAAGAGGGAGGGAGAGGGAGAAGGAAGGAGGGGGAGAGAGAAAAAGGGAGGGAGGGAGAAAGAGAAAGAAAGGGAGGAAGGGGGAGAGAGAGGGAGAGGAGGGAGGGAGAGAAGGAGGGAGGGAGAGGGAGGGAGAAAGAGAAAGAAAGGGGGGAGAGAGAGAAAGAGGGAGGGATGAAGGGAGAGGGAGGGAGGGACAGAGAGACAGGGGGAGAGAGAGAGAGAGAAAGAGGAAGGGAGGGAAGGAGAGAGAGAGAGTGCTTAGATCTGATATCCATTTAGCTTCAAAGATACCCAGCAAAGTTTTGGCAGGCCAGGATCCATGGAAAACAGAGCTCTTAGCTCAGCAAAGGTGATTTATGGGCTCCCTCAAGGACATCTGCCTCTCCTCCCACATCTGCTTCCACCTTTGCTGTTTGAAAGGGACCCTTTCTAGGGGGTGCGGCGGGGGCTGCTGTTCACTCCTCTGACCCGAAACCTCTTGGCTGGCTTGCTTTGGAGTCAAATAAAAGGGAACTTAGAAGTTAACTTTTGAAAAACGTCCCAAGGAGGGAAGGGAAGGGAAGGGAGAACCAGTTGGCAAGGGGCCCAGAAGCCTGGCCCTGCTGTGCAGGAGAAAGGTGTGGCGAATTGTTGATGGAAGTTGGGAGCGTAGAGACGGAGAACCTTTATACCTTTCCTTCCTTGGGCTTTGTCCCGAAACCCGTCTTGACAGAACCAAGGAGCCAGAGGAGGTTCACTTTTAGCGCTTCCAGCCCAAAAGACGGCAAGGATTCTTTCCCACCGTAATGGATGGGGGTGAAGGGGATTTACGCAATGCTTCCTGTTAGTAAGACCAAGAACTGACGTGCGAGAGAAGGACAGGAGTCCAGCTGGCCATCTTCCGCAACAGGGCCCTTAAGTCTCCCCTTAACAGAACCAAAAAGGAGCTCGAAGCGTTGAAGGTCTACAAGTCTTAAAGTTGTCCAGTTTTGGAGTCTTCTGCAATAGAGCAGGGGTCTCCAACCTTGGCCACTTTAAGACTGGTGGACTTCACCTCCCAGGGTTCCTCAGCCAGCCATGAATGATAGAGTTGGAAGAGACCAGAAGGGTCATCTAAGTCAACCTTGGCCACTTTAAGACTTGTGGACTTCACCTCCCAGGGTTCTTCAGCCAGCCATGAATGATAGAGTTGGAAGAGACCAGAAGGGTCATCTAAGTCAGGGGTCTCCAACCTTGGCCACTAAGACTTATAGACTTCAACAATTCCCAGAATTCCCCAGCCAGCTTTGCTGGGAGTTGAAAGCCTAATTCATGAACTGAGGTTGGAGCGGAAGCGCCAGAGAAGGACATAGTAGGCAAAAAAAAAATATTGCAAAGACATGTTGGTAACAAACTGAGAAAGGCCCTTCCAACGGATGTTTTGTCTGCTAGCACCTGTCAATAAACATGTGGGATGTTTTGAACCCTTTCCAAGACAAACCCAAACTTCCTTTCTCACTGTGGGGTCTTCTCCAGATGTTTTGACCTACAACTCCCATTATCCCTCACTGGTTTTGTTGGTCAGCACATCTGGGCACCAGGAAGCTGGAAAGGGTGTTCGGGTGTCTCTTTTAATTTCAGCAGCAAAATCTATTTTGGGCTTTTAAAACAACACAAAGGCAAACCATTAGGTAAGAGGTTCCTAGAAGGCCATTGGGGGAATGGAATAACAGGAACAGGGTTGGAAGGGACCTGGCGGAAGCAGGAGGCTCTTTACCAATAGCATTCCAGACAAAGGGCTGCCCAGTCTCTTCTTAAATGCCTCCCATGGTGGAGCCCTCAACTCCTGCAGGCAAGTCATCCAGCAAAATCTATATACCTAAAAGCGAAATGCCCCTCACGCATCATCACGAAATCTCCAGAACCGTAAAGCCTACAAACTTGAAATTGGGCCTGTATGTTCCTCTTGGCTTCTAGGGGCTCACTAAGAAAGGATTTTTCGAAATGACCCTCAGAACATTTAGAGTATTTCCTAGGTTATTATTATTATTATTAACACGCTCTGATGCTAAGGAGTTCTACTCCCCCTCCCCACCAGGAAAGAAATCTCTTCCAAATGCAAAACACAAGCAGAGGAGTTTCAGTTTCAGAGCACCAAGCAGCTTTAGTACAGAACAGTTGAGCTAAGCCACGCCCAGGCTCCTTGCTGTCTCATTCTTACTCACACAGCAACTACTGTTTCAGTTTCTAAACAGCCCTCAACACTCTCTCACATGCTGATAGGACACTAGCCAGATGAATACCAATGGATGCTGGTAGGCAGCGGCAGAATATTTTTCCCCTTATTTTCCTCCCCCAAAACTAAGCCCGTAGTTTCGTAGTGAAGCACGGGGATCGAGCTAGTAAGTAAATAAAACAAAATAAAAATAAGCCTAATCCAAGGCTGTGCTTTCTTTCCTGCTGGACAAACCACATCTAGGCAGGCTCTATGGTCAGGAACATGTCCAGACGAGGTGGCAAAACCTCTGAACCAAAATGCTTTTTTGCACATCTCCGTTGTGGTGATGAAATTTTGCTGGCTTTGTTCTTCCAAATATTTCCCTTATGAAGTAGAAAATGTAACATACCTGCCTAAATGTTGCTATATGTCCTCTGAATATTATGCTTTGCTAATTCACCGGGAGAACTTTTGAGTCAGATTTTCATTTTAGGAGAAAAAGAAGGGGGGAACGGAGACAATTTGCTTCAGAGAATAAATAAAATCGGGGAAGAAGAAAAGTCGACACAAACTCCAAAATAATGTCCGATTTGTCTGGTAACCAATAAAGTAATGGCTGAATAAACAATGGTATAAGCCAGAAGATTTTCATTTTAAAATGTAAATGGAGTTCTTCACAACATCTTCTTTCAATCCAAGGATTAGAACTTCTCATAGTTCAATGTTGATGCCCCTATTTTCTCTCTCTCTCTTTTAGGAGGAGGATGATGATGGACTTCCCAAAAAGAAGTGGCCAACAGTGGATGCTTCCTATTATGGCGGGCGTGGAGTTGGAGGCATTAAGCGGATGGAGGTAGGCTGCTCCCTGTTTCCGGTTGCCACGGAACGCCCTTTTCCAACAAATCAAACACAATCCAAAAGGAACAGAAACCTTGTAATGCTTTTGCAAACTAATTTAGCTGTGATAAGCACAAGCCTCGTCAAACTGTGCGAGACTTGCCAAAAGATAACAGACAAGAAATAATTTGCAATACAACGATCTTCAAATACATACTCAGGATACTGGAATGTCCCCGAGGCTGGAGTTTCAAAACATTTTTGCCTTCTGCAAAGTACGTTCGTTTCACAGCTGGCTTTTATCTTCTTGAAAGTGGGGTCATTGCATTCCTCAATCGGGATGGCCAAGGAATTGCTGGCTGAGGAATTCTGGGAGTTGAAGTCCACAACTCTTAAAGTTGCCAAGGTTGGAGACCCCTGCCCAGTGGTGGGATTCAACCCACGTAACAACCGGTTTGGTTTGCGCACAGCATTTGAAATCCGCCCATTTTCAGCCCTAAAACTTAGCTTGAGCTCAGGTAGACGGAGATGTTTCCCTTTCAGGTCCGTTGGGGAGAAAAGGGATCGACCGAAGAAGGGGCGAAGCTGGAGAAGGCCAAGAACGCCCGCATCAAGATGCCAGAAGAAGAGTACGAATTCCCGGAGCCAAGGAGTCTCGGAAGCAGCAACCGCAGGTCCTCCTCACCCCAGAAGTGGTACTCGCCAATCAAGGTACGTCTCTGGCTGGCTGGGCAATTCTGGGAGTTGAAGTCCTTGGGGCTTAAAAGTTGCCGAGGGTTGGAGACCACCCCTGATTTAATACACAGCATTATGGAACTCATCCATGATGAGCTTTCTTAGAATCGACTTACATGTGCCAGTTTTCTACCCCTGGCTAAACTCTCTTCCTTGCCACCGTGCTGGACTTATTTTGTAGACCTGGTAATGAGGAAGAAGAAGCGGGGAAAGGGTGATTGGAGAGGAAGGGGTTAAGTCCTGTCCTCCCGCTGTTCGAATCCTCTGCCTCCTTCCCCCACTCACTTATCAAATAAACTTGGATTTGGAATCCTTGTCTACTCATAACATCTTCTAGGGAGGGATTACCGGGAATCCTGCCCGTTTCCAGCCTTAGCAGAATTTAAAATATGAGACAAAGTATAACAGCTTTATTTGCAAGCTTGCTTCCACTTCTCGGTGTTTGGAGCCAAATTCCTGGCTATGTTTGACAGTCTGAATAGAGCTTAGCCAAAGAGAGGAAGGCAGAATGTCCCCCCCGGGCTACAAAGGGGCTTTTATGTTTATCAGATCAACCTTGGATTTAATCTTTTTGGAGCCATACCACCTATGGAAAACAACTAGTCTTCCCCCCCGCCCTCAAAACCAGTATGGAAACAAGCCACGATTAAATGTGCATATTAAAATTGCTGTCCAGGTGAACATGTGTTCATACTGTGACTTTGGCATAGAAATAGGGTGTCTCTTCCAGCCTGCTATCTTTCCCGCCCCCCCCCATGTAAATAGTTTTTTTATTTTTATACAAAAACATCAAATAAAACCATATTTCAGTTATACAGTGTGTCGTCTGTCCATGTATCCTGTGCACATATTAATATGTGTATACATTTCTTACTAAGTTTACCTTCGTATTGTAATCTATCCAGCATTATATATCATAATATTACATTGTTACCGCGTCATTTAATTTCTCATTTTATTTTCCAACCATCTATAAAATAAATCCCAAATCTGATCGTACTCCCTTTCTTCTTGCTCTCTAATGGCCAGTGTTAATTTACTCATTTCTGCACATTCCGTTGCTTTCTTAATCTCCACCTTCACCACCACCGGAATCTTTTCATTTTTCCGATTTTGAGCAAATAACTTCCAGCCTGTTATCTCTGGACGCATCCAAGGATTGGCTTGTTTCTGGATTCCCCTGAGTGACGCTCAGGGCTACTTCATAGCATTATTCTAAAATGGGCAGGTGACCATCTCACCTTCGTAACTTCAAGGGTGAAGCTTGACGTGCATGTGAAGGACGTTTGTCACATACCTACATTTGTTCATTGATTAGTAAAGAGTTCACCCATTTCTTCTGCTTGGTTAGATGGCGTGTAGTGTACGCCTACAGCAGTCATTTTTTCCCCCTTTTATATTCATACATTATATTTTATATTGATATTTCCTTTTATATTCACCCAGCACCGCTTATACCGCATTATGATCAAAGATTGTCCCCAAAATATCAGCCTCTTGGGCCAAGAAAAGCTGGGTTTTGTGGCATGCATAAATTAGGCGTTTCTAGCGCGAATATATTTTGTTTTCACTTCTTTTTTGGGGGTGGGGGGGTTTGCTTGGTTTTGCATAATTAATTCTGCTTTTGCCAGACCTTGAGAAAAAAGAAGGGATTGTGAAGGTCACGAAAGTTCAATAGAAACTCGATCCAGACATTTATTGGGATTTCAAGATTCCAATGTTGTGGAAGGACTAGAATATTATTCCTTTTTTTTAAAATAAAAAAAAGGGAAGAAAAATAAACTTGATATTTTGGTAGCTGAATTCCAGGACCAGCAGGCTACCTGTTTTTCCTGCAATACTGTTGCACATGTTGGAAGCATGTTAGCTTCCAAACTAAATTCAAACTATTTACATGCCCTGAGTTCACATATCCCACTATGCTGCCATGTTTAATTTATTCCAAATAGAAGAGAATGAATGAGCTGGGAGGGACCTTAGAGGTCTTCTAGTCCAGCCCTTTGCTCAAGCAGCAGAACCTATACAATCTCAGACAAGTGACTGTCCAGTCTCTTCTTAAAAGCCTCCAGTGGTGGAGCACCCACAACTTCTGGTGGCAAGCTGTTCCACTGGTTAATTGTTCTCACAGTTAGGAAGTTTCTCCTTAATTCCAGGTTGCTTTTCTCCTTGATTAGTTTCCATCCATTGTTTCTTGTCTTACTTTCTGATGCTTTGGGGAATAATTTGACCCCCTCTTCTTTGGAGCAGCCCCTCAAACGCTGGAATATTGCTATCATGTCACCCCTAATTCTTTTTTCTAGACTAGCCAGAGCCAAATCCTGCAGCCGTTCTTCTATGTCCAGGGTTTCCAACCTTGGCAACTTTTAAGACTTGTGGACTTCAACTCCCAGAATTGAAACTGGCTGAGGAATTCTGGGAGTTGAGGTCCACAAGTCCACAAGTTGCCAAGTTTGGAGACCTCTGGTCTATGTTTTCATCTGCAGGACTTTGATCATCTTAGTTTCTCTAAAATGTTTTTCTTTCCTTTTTCTGCCACATCACATAATGTTGCCTTCATCTTCTCCCCAAGCCACCTCAGAAGCAGGTCTAGGCCAACAGCTTCGGAGCTCCTCGTGGTCTTCCCCCTAAAAAGCCAACAAGCTAATGTGTTTCACCAGTCTTTTTGCTGGTGAATTGACAGAGGACTTGGGCGATCAACCTGCTTCCATTGGCCACTCTAGGCCAAGTGAAGGCATGTCCCCTTCCCTCCCATTTGGAGGACATGGGGAGAGTCTGCATCCTTCAACTGGGAGAGTCCCTTTCCCTGGATCCAAAAAGCTCCTGAGCTTTCTCAACCCAGAGACAGCAATGAACCAGTTGAGATGTTGTACCATGAAGTGGGAGACAACAATCTCCCTTTATCTCACATCATGGTTGAACTCCCCCACTATCCTGGACCCATCAGCTGTGGCCTGGTCCGTTGTGGACTCTGGTTGAGAACCTCTGGGTCAGGATTCCATGATCCCCCAGCCCTCTGGGTGTATCATAATTCATATTCTCCAGCGAAAGACGTCCACAGCCAAGAGTCATCAATCACGTTCTCCAATTAGAGATTTGCGCAGCAGAAACTTCAGTCACCCAGTTACAATCTCTGTAAAATATGAATGGAATGCACTTTCGATTCCAAACTGCTACACTGCTCTTTCATACTCCTTTCCCCTCCCTCGTTCTGTTGGCAACTATAAAATGGGCATAGAAATGTTTCATGAGTTGACATTCCGGTTCTACATCAGTAAACTTAGATGGCCTCTTGTTCTGAATCATTCCTGGCGTTCCTATCCCCCCCCAAAAGGTTGGATTAGATAACCCATAAGGTCCTTCCAATGCACAGGTTTTGTGGTTCTACGTCCCTTCTCTTCTGGGAGCCATTTTTGAAGACTTTGCACATTTTCTTGTACGCTCGGGGGGGGGGGGGGGGCATTAAAAACTGCTGTAGCAACGAAGAGAAATGTGGTACCAAAATCACATTCTGGGACGCAGAACCTGGTTTAAATTAAGTCCTGCAGATGGGTATTTGGATGAAGAGCAGCCTCTACAAACATGTTACAATAAGAAGACAGCAAGGAGCCCATTTTTTTCCCCTATCAAAATGACTTTCCATTGTTATTTTCTCCTTTATAGTTAAGAAATCTGGAATGTTGCCATTGTAAGACATGCTCATTTGTTTATCCACATTTGTTCGAGGAACCTTCGTGAGTTGACGTAGCTTCTCCTCCTTCAGCCGAGAGACTAAATGACAGACCCACAATCACTGTGAGGCTTACAGGAGGGAGCAGGAATCTTGACATCTGCTCTCTCTGGTGTGTTGTGCATCCTTTGGGCAGTCTGTTGTAGCATGGGGAAAAAAAATGAGACATGCTCTCCAGACAGGCCTGGGCATGTTTACATTCACCAGTAGTGTCTGCGGGTGCAAGGGAGCTACGCAAAAAAGCCACAACCCTCCTACTTAAGAGAGGTTTGCAACATGACTTTCCCTGCAACCCAGTTGGCTCGTTGTAGCTGCCTACTTATTTTCTGAACTGGACGTACTTTAGAAATATCTCGCTGGTCCATGGAGGGTTCCTTAGCTTGAGTGACCCCAGAGAAATGAACTGTCAGGGCTGTGGTAGTTACTCCCATTTAAATTGTGAGTCTCTAGCCGGATTCCCAAAGCTTAAAGAAGATTTATTAGGAGTACACATGCCAGCGCTGCCTGGGTGCAGCAGACGCTGAGACACATCATTCATTGTCACCCTTGACCCTGGCTGTCCCTCCACACCCTGGGCGTATCGTAATTCATATTCTCCAATGGGACACCTCCATAGCCCGGAGACATCAGTCACACTCTCCAGTTAGAATTTTGCACAGCAGAAACTTAGATGACCTAGTTACTATCTTTGAAAACATTAAGAGAATGTGCTTTCAGTTTTGCAAGCGGCAACTCTAAAAAAGACCAGAGAAATATTTTATGAGTCGACATGAACCTTTTGAAGACTGACCATCAAATTGTTCCTCTGTGTTTGTGGGAAGGTGAGGAAGATGTATATTTTCTGTCTCTTTAGATAATTCCGTCTCAAGTGTTTGGTGAAGGATCCTGGGAGACCTTCAAAATATTCCTGTTGGGGTTGGTCACAAGTCTTAAAGTGGCCAAGGTTGGAGACCCCTGCCATAGATGGATGGTGTCTTTTTTCTCTCATATGTCAGACAAGATGTTATTTTGATTTCTGATGTTATAACATTAATGCGCTTTTGTGCACTGCAGCTTCTGCCTCTGTTGCAAACTGATTTTTGTCTTGTGCCGATCATGCAACGGGTATGTGATGCCATTTCCTTGTTTTACAGGGAAAGCTGGATGCCCTCTGGGTTCTTCTGAGGAAAGGCTACGACCGGGTGTCCGTCATGCGACCACAGCCAGGAGACAAGGTACCCTTCACTCAGGGCTGCATACAAATTCTCTGAGTTTCCCTCTCTCTAGGTCAGTGTTTTTCAAACTCGGCCATTTTTAAAATGTGCGGACTTCATCTCCCAGAATTCCCCAGCCTGCCGGGAATTCTGGAAGCTGAAATCCACGCAATTTAAAGTGGCCAAGTTTGAGAAGCACTGCTGTAAATGTTGTCAGAGAATAGCCATGTGTAATAGGATTGAAGGGGAAGTTATTAAATATATGAGAAAAAAATGCATTTATATATAAATATACTTATGGAATTTAGTTATTTAAAATTACATTTTAATTCATTCCATACAATAGTTGGTTTTCTCCTGTTCCCTTCCACTTATTGGAATTTGACCCTCTGCTCAAAAGCCAACCCCAAAAGATTGTGTATCTCTAATGAACACACACACACACACACACACACAATGAAGTAACTGAGGCCAAGTTAGAAAAGAAACCCATTTTGGTGTAGCTATTCACGGAAAACAAAGACTTGGTGATATTAAAAAGCCTTTGACTTGTCTGTAACTTAAAGGCAAAATGGTTTTGATTAAGAATGACTCCAAATATTTAAAACAATGAACAACTGTGTAATTTCCGTCTTAGAATAGTTATTTGGGGTTTGGGGTTTTTAATCTTGTGGGACTATAAAAAGTCTGCATGACAAGAGATTTTTCAGCTGTTAGGCAATTCAGACTGGAGATTTTCTGGAACGGCCTTCTGCTTGAGAAAGAGGTTGGACTAGAAGATCTCCAGGGGTCCCTTCCAACTCTGTTATGGTGTAGTCTGTATTGTTTGCCAGACTAATCCTCACTGTGCAAGCAGCTAAGTTCCAGGGCTCCTGATGATCTGAATCTGTTTCCTGTTCCTTTAAATTTTGTTCCATTGAAAAGCTGGTAGAAGGTCCCTCTGGGGCAGTTTTATAACAAAGGAATGATGTAAGAATTAAGGCTAAAGAGATACAGAGGCTGCCGTATTATATCTGCGCCAAGAATTCCTGATACGTATAATACATTCCTATACTTAAAACATGCATTTTCTATAATATGAGCAGAAAAGCACGCTTCGTAGAAAATGCATGTATTTTCTATGAAGCATTTTCTTGCTGTCTCACAAATTTCAAATGCTGTGATAAGAACCAGGAAACCGTGTCCTTCTCTGGGACGGACACACACACACACACACACACACACACACACACACACACACACCCTCTGCTGCTCACAACTCAGCCTCTTCTTCCTTCAGATCCTGGTTTTATTCTTTCTCTTTGACTCCAATTTCCCCTTTGGATTGGAGAGGCACCCTGGGGCACTGCCACCAGTGCCGGTCGCCAAATTACCAGGATGGCAGCCACCACCATGTGGCAAGAATAAAGGGCAAATCTTCCGTCATGTGGTTGTAAGCTCACAATTTGACTTTTGCGGAGGGCGGGGAGGGAGACCTACCTTCCTGCAGAATCCCCTGGCTTGGCCTGCTTACAGTGGCCAAGACGACTCCAGGGGACATGTTCCCCAGCTCATGCTTCCCAGCCTCGCATCATTGAGGCAGGATTGTTCCTTTTTTTGATACTGCCTGAGAGGCAAAAGGCAAATAGCTCATTTCCAACGACAGGGCTGAGCAAAATTGTGAAATGTGTTTCCTTGGGGAAGGATGCCACCAAGCACAGCTGTTTGCAATCAGAGCGAAGGACGACGGTCACAGGGCGGCTTAGGGTTGGCTCGCATTTGCAGGGGCCGACGTTTGCAATTTTCTCAGCATTAATGAGGTTATTTTTACTTTCAGAAGGATAGCTGAATACCCATGTGCCTTTCCCCACCTTAAAAGAGACTCCAGGGCTGTCTCCCCCCACCCCCCATAACAAGATTATTAATAGGATTGGGAATGGGGGCCTTAATTACTGGGGCAACCACTTTGGGGATTCTGCAGCTGTGTCCTGCATCTGCATAACAAAACGGTGGCTTTTTTAAAGCGTCTGTTAGCCAGCGATCAAATGTGTTCCAGCTCAAAGCTTCAGGGGCTCTTAAAGCTGTTCCGAAAACTATTTTTCTCCCTCCCCTCCTTCCGGTCTCTGCGTTAAAAAGAAAAAGTGCCAACGGCACAGTCTTGCATGCAAAAAGAAAAAAAGGCACGGAAGGAATGACATTTTCAAGAGCTGATATTCCTTGCTATCTATGAATATTTATTGCTTTCTATATAAAGTAGTCCTTTGATGCCCAGGTAGCAATAAACACAGGTAGCCATCAGCTTACACTACAGCACTTCGGTTGGTGATGGTTCAAAAGTTACGATGTCACTGAAAAAAAGTGACTTCCCACTGGCCTCTTCAATGACTTTGTGGAAAGCCAGCAGGAAAGGCCACAAATAGCGATCGCAGGATGCTCCAATTATTGAAAATGTAGAATAGAAATAGAGAATAGAATAGGATTAAGATAGGAATAGGAGTAGAGCTGGAAGGGACCTTGGAGGTCACCTAGTCCAGCCCCCTGCTCAAGCAGGAGAACCTATACCATCCCAGCCAAATGGCCGTCCAGTCTCTTCTTCAAAGCCTCCAGTGATGGGGCACCCACGACTTCTGGAAGCCGGCTCTCTTCCACTGATTCACTGTTTTCTGTCAGGAGATTCCTTAGTTCTAGGTTGCGATTAGATTCCATCCGTTGTTCCTTGTCTTGCCCAAAATATTCTACTCTGCTCTTTAATCAGTGGAACCACCTGCCTCCAGAAGCTGTGAATGCTCCAACACGGGAAGTTTTTAAGAAGAAATTGGACCACCGTTTTGTCTGAAGTGGTATAGGGTTTCCTGACTAGGCGGGGGGTCGGACTAGAAGACCTCTGAGGTCCCTTCCAACTCTGCTATTCTCTCCTCTCCTCTCTCTTTCCTCTCCTCTTCCTAAAGCGTTGAAAATTTGCAGTGTGTCCTGTGTTTGCGTTGGCCTGCCTTAAGGGTCTCGTTTTTGCTTGTCTTTCAGGGTCGCTGCATTAACTTCACTCGAGTGAAGACCTCCCAGGCGCCCCCCAGATACCCCCTCAACAACTCCTACCACCCTCCATCCCCGCCCCCAGCCCCTGCTTACAACCCTCCCCCGCTTGCCCCCATCTACACCCCGCCGTCCCCAAGCTCCCCCACCCCTTCCCCCCCTTCCACACTGCTTCCGCCTCCTCCTCATGCTCCTCCCCCCAACCGGGCTCCTCCCCCTTCCCGCCCCCCTCCCCGCCCTTCCGTCTAAAGGCCAAGCCGCTCTCCCCCAGAAGCAGCCCTCCCGCCATTTCCCACCGTACCGTTTCAGTTCCACGAACAGAAGTGGCCTTTTCGCGTTCTGGGCAACGAAAAGAAGAAACTGTTTTTTACCGTTACTTTTTATTTTTATTTTTTAAAGAAAGAAAAGAAACTCTGATGCCTCAGCATGACTGGAAATCTTAAATCCCGTTTTCAGTTCCCCCCCCCAAAATCTTTGCAATTCCTAGGAAGGAAGGGAGGGACAGAATGAAGACTGCAGGATGAAGACGGGGGAGAGAACGGCATCAATGGGCAAAGCCAATAGAAAACGGCTTTCCCCATGAATTGGTGGCGGGAATGTCTCCAGAAGACCCTTCTTGGGGATCGCAGAATCCACTTGCAGCCCAACACAAGGCCATTCCTACCAACTGGGCCGATGCTGCTGGAATCTTCTACCGGGGGGGGGTGTTTTTCATGGGGGTCTGGACTGGGTGTGTTGCTGCAAGAAGTACGGGATACGACCATGGATGGAGAGCAGAGACTCCAAGGGCCTCCCGTTTTGCAAAACCGAAAACAAACCCGCGTAGCTCTTCAGCGAAGGACGCCAGGCGATCGAGGAAGTTGGAGAGCCAGGCTAGGATGGGAAGACGTTCCACCATCCTCTGAGGAGACGTTGGCAGACACCCGAAAGCATCAAGGAGCAGATGATTTTATAGGAAAAACACGAAACCGCTGGAAATAACGCCCAACATGCTCTCCTCCTCAGGTTGCTCTTAACAGAGGTGACCAAATGGGTCAAATTCTGGGTGAAGTTTCCTGCTGGCCAGCTTAGAAAAATAACCAACCCAGATTGACCACGGGACACCGGAGTCAACCAGGGTGAGATAGAGAGAACTGGATTAACACGACAACTATATACGCCGAGTGGTTGTTGTTTTTTTCCCCCTTTTTATTCTGAATAACTATAGTTAGAACACGGATTGTCGGACTCCCAGGTACGGTTTATATTATGCCACTGCTCTGCTCTAAAACAGATTCCTAGGCAGGGAGGGCGGGTTCAGACCGCTTTATTTCCATGTCTTCGTCTGCCTTCGTTTTCCTTTTTCCATTTTTATGCTGGTTTTTCTCTCGCCATAAAAAGAGCAACCAAGAAGGGAAAACGAAAGAACGAAAAGGGTTTTGGAAGTGCTGAAAAATGATTGGCTTATTGGAGACGATAACAAAGATGGGGGTTGTTTTTTCTTCCCCAAAGCGGGTTCATATATGTCGACATGACTTTGTGGATTGTGCGGCGGATGTCTAGAAAGCGAGTGGAGGCAGAGAGAATTTTTCTAAATTGTGTTGTCTTAAACATATATTTTCCGGGAAATGGAAAGAGACCGGCAGAAACAGATCCGATGATGTCGTCCTGGCTGGGTTCGCCCACCAGATTAGCCTAGGTTAAAACGGGATGGAATCAATGGTGGGATTCAGCCGGTTTGCACCAGTTCACAAGAACCGGTTGTTAACTTTCTGAGCGGTTTGGTGAAGTGGTTGTTGGAAGAAATCATTAGGGCAGAGAACCGGTTGTTACATTATTTGAATCCCACCACTGGATGGAATACAGACAGTCTTCAACTTACGACGACCACAATTGAGCCCAAAATTGATGTTACTAAGCAAGACAATTGTTAAGTTAGTTTTGTCCCAATTTATGACCTTTCTTGTCGCAGCGATCGTATCTGTGGAAAATGGTCACAAGTCACTTTTTTCAGTGCCGTTGTAACGCCGGTCGCTAAATGAAGCGTTTTAAGTCGAGGACTGCTTGTGTTTTGTAATTCAGACATCCCATCAAACCAGAGTTTGCTTGAGCCGTTTGGGCAGAGTGGCTTGCTTTTCTTATCCCAGGTTTAAGGTTTCATGGGAGGGCGGGGTGTGTGTGTGACATTCAGCCAGTGTGTAATTGTCACCTTCAGTTCTGGCCTCTAAAACTCTGGGTGCTTTGGGACTGTTTTGATTGTGATGGATAGAAGAAAAGTAGAAAATAACTTGCAAATGAGAAATGCAGGAGGTTGCGTTGTGTGCAAAGCACACACCCCCGTCTCTGCAAAGTGAGTTGTGAAAGTCAGGTTTTGTTTTTAAAGAATGGACCAACTCATGGAGGTCCTTTTGGCAGTTCCTGCCTGGCTTTTGACTGCACATTACAACGATTAAACTCTGCAGGATCTTTTCTAAGGCCGAAGCGCTCAACCCGATCTATTTTCATGCCAGCGGAGACCGAGGGATTCCCAGGGATCTACTAACGAAGTAAAACTGTAAAACAGGTGACAGTCTCTGCTCATTCCGTCCTCCAAGGGCAAAAAGGCAAAGCATGAAATGACACGATTAACATTAAGCATGAAAAAAACAATATTCCTGGGAGGGGAAATCCATTTTATTTGGGGGTGGGGGGGACGCTTACCCAGAGCTGCTGCTTCAGCACCCCAGAAAAGACCCAATTGCTCTTTCCATGGATCTTTCTTCCAGCACAGGGAACTGCTGTCTCTGCAGGCAGAACAGTGAATACCCACTCACTCTCCCAACACACACACAAACACACACACACACACACACACGCCCCCGTTCGGCCTCTGCCGTGTGAGCTCCCTCTCGGGAAATATCCTTCCTTTGGGTTGCAGCTCGGGATCCATTTGATCACCCAGGTTTACCTCTTAGAGAAGCCATGACACCCGGTTTGGCTGGTTAGCAACAGTTGGGGGCCACCATCGACTTGAGTAGCTAATCTGGGTTTGTTCCAGATGTGAGCTTGTTGGAATAAGCCAAGAAGCTGGCAGGGAGGGATGGGAACTCCAGAAAAGGAGCTCCATGGTTTTGTCAGGCTGCGTCAGGAAGACGAGTCAACCGCAGAGCTAGATCCCCAGCGGAGGGGAAGTCAAGTCAGTGGTCCAAAACTCTTGTGATCAATCAATCAGAATCAAGCTGGAAGGAACCCTGAAGGTCTTCTAGTCCAGCCTCCTACTCAAGCAAGAGACTCTCTACCCTTCCAGTCTCTTCATAAACAGCTCCGGGGATGGAGCACTCACAACTTCTGGATCAAAGCTTTACATTTTGATGTATTATTAAAAAAAAAAAAAGGTTGGATCTTCCATTGCACGCCCCCCCCCCCATCCTGACTGTGCCCCCTCCCCACGGATAGCCTCTCTTCAGACTGCGCTCAGAAATAATACCGCTGTAGTCATGTCTTATAAAAGTTAAGTTTTACTCCTTAAGAGTTGATCCACGGTGCCTCAAAATGTGCTTTGAAAAACAACCCCAGCATATTTTTTTATTAGTATTATTGCTAACTGCATGGGGGCAGCTTGAGAGGGAGTGCAATTTTAAATAGCATCTGGTTTTATTAAACGTTTTCGTCTTCTCAATTCTAGACTCAAAAAGAATATAAATTTCTATGGGGCGGGGGGAAGAGTACAAAATAATAATAATTTTTTAAAAAGTGTAAATCCAGACAAAAGAAGATGCACAAAGAGGCAGGAGTCCTGGGCACAAAGCGAAATTCCAAATCTGTGGTGTATATATTATTATTGTGTGCTTGCCATATTTTAAATGGAAGCATTTCCTATTCTGTGTGGATAAAAGATCTTGGGGTTTGTTTTTTTTTCATATTGTAGTAAATTATTATAAAGCCAATGATATTTCATGGCATATTATTGTATCAAGCTGTGCTTGTTTATGTTTTTTTCCTCTGTATGGTTGTATTGCTTTTATTGATGTATAAATATTGTCTGTAAATGACAAGCACCTCCTTCACAAAACATTAAGTGTGATCACCGGCCGTCTTCCACCCAACCAGTGAGAAAGCTGGTGGGACAGCAATTGAGGGCCTGTGTGGAGACCCTGCCCATTCCTTGCCCTGAACTTCCTTTGGTTTGGATCAGGGGTCCACAAACTTGATCACTTTAAGACCTGTGGACTTCAACTCCCAGAATTCTCCAGCCAGCATAGCTGGCTGAAGAACTCTGGGAATTGAAGTCCACAGGTCTTAAAAGTGGCCAAGTTTGGGGATCCCTGATCTGGATGAAGTCACATTGCAGGAGAAACCCTTCCTCCCCTCACGATAGGGGAGAACTACCCACGACAGCACATAGAGCTTTGCATATTGGGAAGGGCTTCTGTGCATCCTCCATCCCTTGGAGATAGCTGTCTGCAGGTAGACCTCCTGCAGAAGCCCTTCAAATGTTCTCCTTCCCCATCTCAGGGACCAAAAAGAAATCCAGGTGTCATCCTTGGAAGCCCTATTTTCTGAGGCTGCCATATTTAGTGCCTGGGAATTTGGGAGGGGGGATCTAGTAGAGAGTTGGAAGATTAGACTCAACAACATTTTCTCAGAGAGTCAAGGACATGTTGCCCTGCACCTGGAGGGGAGTGAATGGAAGAAGGTCTCCAGTTGGGACGAAGATTTCATTGGGCCAAGTAATGGACCAGTGGGTGCAGGGGACGGATCTTTCTCTTTTGGGAAAGGAAAACCTGGATCCCTCAGATTTCCCAGAAGGGCCAGTATGACAATTCTAATGAAATGCAACTTTGAGAAAATGCTTATCTCGGAGTTTATTGAGTTGGAGTTTGTTTGTTGGAACACGGACACCAGGCAGCTGCTGTTACAGATGGCGCCCAACACTTCTTGACAAGGTGTTGCATGTCTCAGCAGAATGACCTGTTTGTAAGACCTGAACCCAAGCAATGCTTGCGTAGAAACTTTCCATGTATAAACAGGATGTCAGCATTCCAAGTAAAGGACCCCTAGTAAACAGAACTCCGAGGTAGGCAGCTTCCTCAAAGGACAGTTTATTGGATACTTCACGTTGGCACAACGGGCGAAAGCCGACTCTGAAATTTCCCGCAGCTTTCCCCTGATTAACAGTAAATGTTTCCCATCCCAAGTCACCAGTCATGCTGTCCAATCCAGGTGGTGGCCGGTTGCTTGGTTACTTGCTCCTCCTCTGGCCAGCCACCTGTGAAAATGTCCTTGGTTCC